ATCTGCAAACAAGAAAGCAAGGCATACAACTGGCCTCCTACTCTGCTTGTCTCTTGGGTTTGATAAGAGGCATTAAAGTTTTGCTTGGCAATCCTTTGTTCTATACCAACAGGTATAACCATTTTGATGGCTTTTTTACGGGCAGGGTGGGGTTGGGGGAGGGATCCTGGAGATCTCAAAAACATGGAGGGTTGGGGGAGTGCCTGGGTGGCTCAGTGGGTTGAATGTCTACTCTTGTTTTCAGCTCAGGTCAGGGTTTCAGAGTCATGAGATTGAGCCCCACATCAGGCTTCACAGTTGCGGGGGTCTGCTTGGGATTCTCCCTCCTCCTCTCCCCCCCCCCCATGCACATTTGCTTTCTAAAATAAGGCAAAAAAAAAAAGTTTAAGAACATTAGTTTCCAAAGATGAGACTTTTGCTTTTGTTCCCCTTCCCCAAACTATACCTAATTCTTTGAAACATCGAGTAAATCTGACACGTCCATGTATCCAGACGAGGTTTTTATAAGCTACACTCTAAGAATGCATCCAGGCCACAGATGTAGCTCTGGCACCAAAGAGGGGCAACACAACACTAAGCCAAGGGCTCTTAGTAGAAGGTAAGGAATTCTCAACCTTTGTAAACCTGTAGGGTTTTTTCCCTAGAAAACTGGTTCTTTCCCTGAACTTGGTATGTGTGTGGGGGGGGTGATTTAAGCAGTCAGAATGTTAAAAACCTAAGGGACTATCCAGAGATTAAAATGGCTGTTTTATTTTAACGGAACATTCAGATGGCAGTTCTAGGAAAGCCCCTTTTTTCACCTAATACTATTTCCCTACAATGCACTCTTCCTGATCAGTTTTACCTAATGGCTTACTTCCCCCACATCCGTGATTTCACAGTATTTGTATACACTTCTCAAACTTAGAATTAGAGGTAAATTATGCAAAGTGGTGGGAATGATTCCATGTGAAGGCTTTATAAGTCACAATTCAGTGTGATTACAGCGGCCATGCACACAAAATGCAAAGAACTTAAGTATATGATTCATATACAAAATTATTACATACTATTTTAATCTTTTTCATGGTTTTTATTTTTTAAGATTTATTCGACAGACACAGGGAGAAAGGAAACATAAGCAGGGGGAGTGAGAGAGGGAGAAGCAGGCTCCCCACTGAGCAGAGAGCCCAATTTGGGGCTTGAGCCCAAGACCCTGGGATCATGACCTGAGCTGAAGGCAGAGGCTTAACCCAATGAGCCATCCAGGTGCCTTTTTTTTTTTTTTTTTAAGATTTTGACAGAGATCACAAGTGGGCAGATCAGTAGGCAGAGGGGGGGAGGAAACAGGCTCCCTGCTGAGCAGAGAACCTGACATGGAGCTCTATCCTAGGACCCTGAGATCATGACCAGAACCAAAGACGGAGGCTTAACCCACTGAGCCACACAAGTGCCCCCACCGTGGGTTTTTTCTCCTTAAAAAATTTTTGACAGAGCACAAGCAAGGAGAGTAGCAGGTAGAGGGAGAAGCAGGTTCCCCACTGAGCAGGAAGCCAAATGTGGAGCTCAATCCCAGGACCCTGGGATGACCTGAGCCAAAGGCAGTCACTTAACCCAGCCACCCCCGCAACCCAATTCCTGTTCATTTCTAAATCGCTGGCTCCTTCAACAGCTGACTTTAGTAAATTCAATAAAAACAAAAACCATGTAACCACCCAGCTAAACTATTAGTACCTTAGTACATTAAGTCCTATACATCTAGAATGTAGCTCTCAATGACGGCCTGTAGTCTAAGTCCGTATCTTTATGAGTGAAAGTACTTAACCTGTTATGGTGGCCATTATGTTTGTCGGACTCTTCCTACCTTCTAATCACCATGGACACCACCGGTTTTCCTCCCGTGCAGTCCCCAGGTTTTCCAAAGGCCTAACAAATTGCCTTTTAATTTGCCTTGTAATGAAACAGATCTGATTATCTGTTATTGTTTTGTAGCTCCAACACTGATCCCACCTGTAACCAAAGACCTAGAGTAATGCAAAGTCATACAAAGTCTAGATCTTTTAAACAAAGATCTGGAGTCCTACATACAGGCTGTAGTATTCTAATGGTGCATAAGCAATCAAGGCAAAAAAGCATCAGGCTTAGGCACTTCACAGCTGAAGTCCTTTCCCCATCAGTGGTTGCATCATATTTGTATCACATGTGAACCCCTGGATATGTTCGTTCAGGTGACAGGACCACCGGGTACAAAGCTTTGTCAGTATCTGGGTCCAGTCATCAGTAGTCAGGGCCTAAGTGGCATACGCCTGCCACTCATTCCTCCGAGTTGAAGTTTTCTGGCCAAAAGCAAAGAAAGGCATGTTTTAGTCAACTGAGTTTAATGCTACTAAGCTTTCTCAAATAACTCATGGATAAAACCCCTAATTCAATTTGTGGGCCTTAGAGCCAAGAAAGGGGGAAAAACACACACACACTCTCTCTCTCACACTCTCTCTCTCACTCTCTCTCTCACTCTCTCTCTCACTCTCTCTCTCACTCTCTCTCTCACTCTCTCTCTCTCACACTCTCTCTCTCTCTCTCTGCAGATCAGCTGCAGTTCACCAAAACTCACCTGCCCTTAACAGAGCGAAGACAGTCAAGGTATGGCTCTTCCATCATTTATAGACACTTTCAGATCTTAATCTGTAAGTTTCTAAAATTCTCAAAGTTTTAAGTAAGCAGCAATATGCATTTCAGTAACATTTGAGCCTTTAAATCCTTTTACTAGGTATCCGACTACTTGAAGATAGAGAATAAAAATATATGATGGATTAGTGATTTTGCAATTATGCTGTTATTTTTATACAACCCAACTGTGTAATTCAAGACTTGAAGTTTTTGGCATTAATTGACTTGTACATCAAATTCACAAGAATATAAATTCCCACTTCACTGTCCTAGGAGGAAAACTACTGCCAAGAAATGCTCCAGCTCTCTTTAGTAAGCAGCATGTTAGGAGGAAAAAAAAAAAAATGTGGAGCCTTTTAAATACGGGAAATACATACTTAGACTGTTATATAAAAACTCAGACTGGTAATACTTAGACTGTTAATAAAAACTCAGGCTAATCTGAATGCATGCAATGCTCTCCACATTTACAGAATTGGAGTCTTCAAACATGCCAAACATTTTTACAGAGATCAGATGCAGGATTTTGTTGTTTGGATTTGGTAACACCTGGATAAGGGTATAACCGTTTCCTTCATATTGTGAATGTTTCAAAGTTCAAGCTCTGCAGAAACTTTTTAAATAGGAATCAGATCCGCAGCTATGAACAAGTTTCAGTAACAAAATGCGACAAGTACACACAGTATCAATCAGCTACCAGTGACTTTTTACAGAAGAGTCCGAACAGGAATACCCTTAGTCTAACCATAGACAGTTTAATACATGAAAAATAAGCTTAAATTCTGCATGAATGATCAACGTGATGACTGGATGACGTTCAGAAGCATGCTATAGGACCACAGAGAACATAGGTCAATACTTACACTTAGTTAAGGACTACTGAAGTTGAAAGCTGCTTGACCTAAGGAGTGGAGAAGCAACAGGTGACAGCAACAGAAGCAGCAGGGAGGAAGTCCTTAGCTAGGAGTGGGATGGAAGGTGCACAAGAACTCCATGGGGTACCCACAGCTGACCTGACCCTCAATTGGTCTGAAGTTAAGAAATGGTGCTTGGATATACCGCTCTCCTGCAAAATAAGGAGTCTGCCTACAGGATACCTCTTTTCCAGCTCCAGCCTTGTGACTGAATTACCTACAGGGTTAGGTTCTGGAAGGATCTGTGTAATTAGACCACAGCTGCAGAGAATCATCCCAGTAAGTACTCCCAGAGAATGACAGGTTCAAAACCGCTTCTTACTTTAGGTGTGTTTTTAAAGGCTGAATAAATGAGGGTGGTGGGAAGACGGTTTAGTGAAAGCTATAGCAGTGTTTCAAAAGGCAATTCATAAGCTCTCTAAATTTAAGAGATTCCTCACATGCTTAATACTTTAGAAAACACCTATGCAGCTAGATATGCCTTGGGCAAATTACAAGCTCTCTGGGTCCCCACATATTGTCCAACTAAGGAGATGGTTATATTTTCCTGAACATTTAGGTTCAGCCTTCTATTAGATTTCCTAGACATGTTTTATTTGGAACATTTACCCGATTAGGGCAATTTGAATCATGACTTTCATCTGTTACAGTACATTAGACCCCTGGAAACTGGTTTTAAAACTAAAGTTGGCAGACATTACACCTGAAATTCCTTACCACTTTGGGATTAAAAAAAAGAAAAAAAAAAAAACCCGCATTCCTTACTAAGGGGCAATGTGCCAATCCTTTGTTTTTCATCAATAGTGCGTTTCATTAGGCCGACTCAGACCAGGAACTACTCACCTAAAGCAACTCTACAAAACTGCGTACCTTCTCCAGGGTTTGGATTTGAAGTCCTAGTTTTACAGCGGTATAGGAAGCTTAACTTTTTTATTATTATTCATGAGGAAAATTTCTACCCCTTCGCCCTAGTAAAGACTTCAAAAGTGTCCAGATTTCACCTATTTCGCCTAACTACACAATCATTTACACCCAGAGCGAACCCCAGCTCCAGCTGAAGCAGGTGGACAGGAATGCACCATGGCCGTTAAATATTAAAGTTTATGGGAGTTGCATACTAACCTGGCCGAAGGGGAGCCCCACCGGGTGCAGCCACCGCACAGCCGGCGCTAGCGGTGAGTCTCACTCCTGCCAAGCTGACAGCTTCTCCCGACAAGAAAAGGGGGCTGGGGGAGGACGCGTCCTCTGCAACCCGAAACACAGCCGGCTAAAGCACGGTCTCCCCCCGCCCCCGAAAATCCCCTTGAAGCTCAAAGACCAACAAAACTAGTACCCGCGTTGAACAAGGGCAGAGGGCAAGCGACCCGGAGCTCTCCCGGGAGAAAACTCCGGAGAGGAAGAAGTGGCGGCCGGAGGCAGCTGGTCCTGCGTGCAACTCACCTTCTGCTGCCTCCGGGCCATGTCTGTGGGCTGCTTAGCGTTGAAGGGGTACGCGATGCACCTCACCACGAAGACGTAGAGCTGCAAGCGGATCCGCCGCTCCTGCTCCTCGTCCAGCTGCCTTTCGGGCTCATCTCGCCCCTCGCTGAGCACCGAGGGGCTGGGGCTCACCGGTCTGGCCGCGCTACCGCCGCCCGCGCGCCCCGGCGCGTCCCGCCGCCCTTCGCGAGCCGGGGCCGGTGGTGCTCGCTGCGAGCCGCTGGCCGCCACCAGCACATCGCGGCTCTCCTCTTCCAACCCTTCGTCCGACTCCTCTTCGCTGGAAGACGGGTCCAGCATGGTGCTCGGGGCGCCCCGCCGCTCGGCCCGCGGCAGCTACGCCTGCCGGTCGGAGGGAGCCGCGCGGTTCGCAGCAGCGGTCGCAGAGCGAAAGGGAAACTGGCCGGAGCTTTCCGGACACGTCGAGTTGGAGACGGAATGTTTCCTTCCACCAGGGCGAAAGGGGCGGGCAGGAGCCGGAGGAGAAAAGGGGGAGCCGCCGGGATTAAATAGGCGGAGTTAGCGTTGGAGGTGAACGTGAGCGCCTCGTGAATTTCTCTGCCCGCCGGGGCCGGCCAACCGCGTGATCCTGCCGCGCTGATGGGCTGAGGCGGGGCGGCTCGAGGGCCCGGGCGCAGGTAGGGAACCTGTGGCTCCCACAACAAGCAACACGTGGAATAAAATGTTGAGCGGGCGCGGGGTCGTGGAGTGCGCGTGCGCGCGCCGCGGCTGCTGCCTGGGCCCGGGTGCCGAGTACCCGGGCGCGCAGTGTGCACAGGCGGGGAGGGGCTGCTGTGCGGGCTCCGAGTGCGCACACCCGGGGTTGCTTGCACTGCCGTGTCCCCCACCCCACGTCCTTTTTCTTCCACCAGATTCCCGAGGGACGGGTGGACGGGGGCCGGACAGCTTCCCACACCCTCCGCCCCGCGCAGGTGAGGAAGAGGGGACAAAACGTCGTTCAGACCAGAACCTGATGCCCAGGCTTGAACCCAAGTGCGTAAAAGTGGGATCTGAGCCGCTCGCCTCAAAATAACGTTGGGAAGAGACTTTGAAAAGTCTCTCGCTCTGCTCCGTTTGACGCTTTTGCTGTTAGTCCAAATTATAAAGTCAGAGGAACGTTCTTGACAAGGGGAAGGGAAAAAAAAAAAAAAAAAAAACACGCCAGGCTTCCTTTTTAAATTGTTTTTATTCCCGCAGACGCATGAACAAGATAGATTTTGTATTTGCGAAATGGCACGCAGGTTCAGCTCACACATAACTGGATTATAGTGTAGGTTGGGATGCGGTTGACTCAAAACAGGTTGTGCAGCCGTAGACATATATCCAACAAATATTTGAGCCCACGCCCGGTATCCAGTACTGTTAGCATTTGGCCGAGTCCGCGGAGCACACGAACAAACACTTGGTCGTTGTTGGTTCTGGCCTCAAGTGGGCGTCTTGAGGCTGCACCTGAAGCCTCTCTTATCTGCACAGATTTTTCAGTCCCACTGCCGGAACCACCCGGGAGTTTGTTCTGGTGATTCTGTTTCTGATGTACTTAATCCCGAGAAGGGGGAGGGGGTGCGGGTAGGAAATCTAGTGCATTCAACACAAGGTGCGGTGTGCTGTAGCCAAGCTGGCAGAAGGATTATGAAGCGAAGGGGAACCTCTGAGCTTGTCTACTCTGTGGCCAAAAAGCAGTCTTTCAAGCCACTTCCACCGTTAGGTACACAAGAGAGAGGCTTTCCTTCATTTACTGACATTCTCCCTAGATGGGGGTAAAGAAAAACAAAAAAACAAAAACAAAAACAAGGAGGTATTTACTCCTAGGGACACTTGCCTATTTATCAATCCTTAATGGATGCCCAAAGTGATAAAATGTTCATTGAGGGCATTACTACTGGCGGTTTTCCAGCTGCTGAGGAAGAGGAAATCTCAGAAACTGGTTTAAAGATAATGTTTTATGCTTGGCAAGGTGAATAATAAATGGCAAGCCTACCCATTTAAGTGATAGTATCTACTGCTCATATACATAGCAAATTACTTCTGCAAAGTTTTGTAAATGTGCCCATCTAATATGACCAAAGTAACCTTTGGTTAAAAGGTGATGATGGGGGGCACCTGGGTGGCTCAGTCAGTTAAGCATCTGCCTTCGACTCCAGTCATGATCCCGGGACCGTGGATCGAGTCCCGCATCTGGCTCCTTGCTCCAATGAGGACTTGCTTCTTCCTCTGCCTGCTGCTCTCCCTGTTTGTGCTCTCTCTCTCTCCTCCCAACAAATATATAAAGAAAATCTTAAAAAAAAAAAAAGTGATGATGATGGTGATGATGACAGTTACTTTTTATGGGCTTTGTAGTCATGACTGCACTAAACCCTTCATATACATAATGTCATTCATTTTTAGTTCCTTTGTACAGATAAGGAACCTGCGACTTAGAGAATCCTCTTCCTACACAACTAACTGTTGGAACAAAGACAACATAGTGAGTCCTTTCTAGTTTCAAATAGTGGCTTTTTCTATTATAATCTGATTATAAATCAGTATATTAAATGTATTATTTTTTAAACTGATAACTAAATAAGAGTTTAATTCCTAGCAACATAAAAGTATAATTTAAATATAGCAGCTTTATTGCCCTTATTTTTCTTGCCAAGAAAAGTATATTTTTGTTTCCTTTTTTAATTAGTTAATACTACTTGATGTGTTAGCTTATTATTCTCTTCCTACCAAAAATAGTTATCAAATTAAGGGTTCTTGAACCCTTGGGGGACCCCACTAGAAAATATCTAATAATTTTTAGAATAAGCTCTACAGTGTTTTCTCTATGAAGATGAAAATGGTTTAATGGACATAATTAAAGAAATATCCAAAAAGACAACAAAGGAAATGTTTAAGGATTTTGTTAATTAAACATACATTGCTTAAGAAACTAGCATATGTTAAAACCATGCTAGGTATATTTAGAAGAACAACATATAGTCTTGGACCTTAAGTTTGTAGATTGAAGAATGACAAATGAAAAAACTTATTTTAAAAAATAAAAAATACATATTGATATTGCAATCTGATGATTGTTCTAATAACCCCAAAGATATGGTAATACAGAGAACTACCTCATACAGGACAGAGTAAGGGAAGGATGCTTGACATATGTCTTGAAATATGATTCAGAGCTACTGGGGTGACAGCACTGGAGGCAGGAGGAACCACGTTTGAAAAGGAGTGAAATTGCTTGCACGTTTGGAGAACAGCAAGTAAACTGGCATGCCTGAAGTGAAGGATATATATGAAGATGGAGGGGGTGAGCCTAGAGAACAGGCACAGACAAATTCAGCATTGAGCAGGACAGTGGGCAGGCATCTTGGTCTTCTATTTCATGCTTTGGAATTTAAACCATATCCTGACGGAATTGGGGATATACATAAAGGGTTAAGTAAGGTACAACCTAAGGTGATCTGTAACTCCTAAGAGTCAGTCTGGAGCACAGTAAGGGCAGTGAAGTTAGTAAGAAAATCTGGGGGAGGGCGCCTGGGTGGCTCAGTGGGTTAAGCCGCTGCCTTCGGCTCAGGTCATGATCTCAGGGTTCTGGGATCAAGTCCCTCATTGGGCTCTCTGCTCGGCAGGGAACCTGCTTCCCTCTCTCTCTCTCTCTGCCTGCCTCTCTGTCTACTTGTGATCTCTCTCTGTCAAATAAATAAATAAATAAAAACTTTGAAAAATAATTAAAAAAAAAAAAGAAAATCTGGGGGAGAAACAATGAGGGCTTGAGTTTAAATAGGAGAGAAGGGGAAGAGGGAAGCTTAAGAGACAGGCAAAGGAATTATCAGAATATGGACGGGAAGCTGAGGAAGAGGGTTAAGGAAAGAACATGGTTCTCAGGTTGGGTAATTTGACTGATAATAGAGGAAATATGGACTTCTACAAGACATATAGGTTTGGAGAAACATGAAGTTTTGAGGAGCCTGTCACAAAGATCCTAGGCTCAGTTGGAGATGCAAAGCTGGTACTCAAACCTATTAGGGGAAAAGGGAATTGTCAGCATATTAGTGCTAGTGGAAGCTACAGATACAGATGATTAGGGCCAGAAATCATGTATTCAGAGTGAGAAGAAGGCCTAGGATGTGTCTTTGAGGAACCCTCCCTGCCTCGCCTCCAATTAAGGGATGGTTCAAGGAAAAGGAACCTGAAAAGACAACCTGATCATTAAAAATTAATTGTTCACGATTAATATTTTTAATTTTGTGCTTACAATTTCTACCTTAAATATTACCTTTTCAGGTAATTATAACATCAATTGATGCTCCCAGATAATTAAATAAATGATGACTGCTTGGTTTGTACGATTTCATAAGACTATGGTTTGTACAATTTCATAATATAAGACTATGATTGGTTTGTACGATTTCATAAATCTACAAAATACATATGAACTTATTCAATGATTCATTTTTACTTTTTTCAAGGTGAATATAAAAACAAATTGAACTTTTACTGCTTTTTAATGAAACACCCCTAATGCTAGGGAAAGATGGATGCACAGTAATAAAATAGAATATAAAATGTGTTTTGGCAATGATATTTAAAGAAACAGGGTGTGACCTGAATAGCTATAGGTGGTCTGTTTCCTGGTAGAGAATTGATTTGTGCATTTGACCTGAAAGGAAGATATTAACTCTTTCAAGTCACAGATGAAATCATTCTTTCATTGAACAGACATTTTTGTGGGCACCCACTCTAAGCTATGCACTATTCTGAGTAGATAAAAACAATAAAAGTCCCTGAGGCAATGCATATGAAACAGACATGAGCAAAATAAGAAATTATGGTAATATATGCTCTTGCAGTAATAATGAAAAAATTCACAAAATATCCCTTAACTGCTTTGGAATGGGGCAGACTATTATTTTTTTGTAGTCTAGTTATCGCTAAAATATTATTACAACAGAGAGAGGAATCTTTTTCAAGTCAAATAGACCAGTTTTACAAATATGCATGGGAAAACTGTCAACTCGAAAACCCAGCTAAGAAAAAGAATATGCATTTACAGAAGTCAGAGAAGAACAACAAATTTAAGGTGAGTATTTACATTTTATGAGGCAATAATCCTCCTGGCAACCTCATTTAAATCCCTTTCCTCTCTTTGCTCAGCTTTCCCTTTCTCTCCTCTCCGGTTAGAATTCAAGTCGTAGCAGAGAATTGTTCTAGGACTCCCCTTTTTACAGATAATGGGTAAAAAAATATGCAAATGATTAGCACTAATGGACCAGGAAATGAGTAGTTCACACTGATTGATACACAGACACATGCACACACACACACATACAATATAGTCAAAGGATTAATTTGTGAAGATTAAATAAGATAATGCATGCAAAGTACTTTAAAAACTCTTTGATACAGAGCAAACGCTGAGTATTTTACTATTATTAAAATTGCTTTATTGTTTTTTTTTCTTTTTTAAAAATATTTTATTTTATTTATTTGACAGAGAGAGCAAGCACAAGTAAGGGGAGCCATAGGGAGAGGGAGAGGGAGAAGCAGGCTACTTGCAGAGCAGGGAACCCAATGCAGGGCTCATTCCCAGGACCCTGGGATCATAACCTGAGCCGAAGGCAGATGCTTAACAGACTGAGCCAGACGGGCACCCCAAAATTGCTTTTTTCTTTAGCTCACTGCTAACTATAGAACTACAGAAACAAACTGTAGATAGGATAGTAAATGATTCTATGCATTTTTATTGGGTTTTACATAAATTAGAATTTGTATTTCTAAATTATTTGTCTTGAAACAACCAAAATAAAGTAAATTCCAAATATGTGTTAAGGTTTTTTGTTTGTTTTCAGAAAGAGAGAGAGAGAGCAACCATGAGAGTGGGGAGGGGTAGAGGGAGGAGCAGACATCCTAGTGATCAGAGAGCCTGAGGCAGGATTCGACCCCAGGACCCTGAGATCATGACCTGAGCCAAAGATAGATGCTTAACCAACTGAGCCCTCGTGTTAAGGTATTTTATTAAGATCTCAGAGATTTCATAATTTTTATAAGAAGGTCTGACCCCACAAGAAACAGCTACTTTCCTTCTGTTCCTATTCAATCTGTGAGCATTC